CGCGTAATACTCGTTGATGAAGATGTATATATATTTTAATCATTGTGTTTATTATGAATTACGAAAAGTTCCATGAGGTGACTCTGCAGGACTTTTTTTGCGCTTTATGGTAAAGATATTTAGACCTTTTCTTACAATATCTTTCTACTGTATCATGACTGTGAAATTATTCTATGCTTTTGCTTGTTTGTAATTAAGCACAAAGCTACACGATGGGCTATCTGTGATCTGCCCACCACGGGTATCGAAACCCGGATTCTAGCGTTGTAAGTCCGCAGACTGGGGGGGGGGCGATGCTTTTGCCAGTATACGTTTGTTTCATCTATGTCTATTTTAAATTGTTTTAACTATAAATCTTTAGTTGATGAAATCGGACGGTTTCATTTTTCACAGAAAAGAAAATACAGTAGCGTTCTACCATGGACAATTTTCAGGAATTATTGAATTACCAAAAAACAAACAAACAAAAAAAAACGTTAGGAACTTTGGTTGTGAAGTCGTGCCCTGTTTTCTCGTATCCCTTTTCTTGATTTAGTATTTCATGTGTGTGCCGTTTATATTAGCAATTATGCATATACTGAAATCCTGAAATAGTTTTAAGAAGAATTCGAGTATCTGCAGCTAGTATAAGTTACATGTAACATAATTTTATCCCGCACATCCGGGTCATTAAAGAGAAAAAGTGCCGAGTTTCAATTTCAAGTTCATAGCTGATATCAGATATGACAGAAAACTAAAAGAAAATGACGTGAAAATATGAAGGAACTCTACATTCAACTTTTTGTAAAAGCTCATGTTTATTTAAACAGTGGATAGCTGATATAAACGAGTCAAGTGCTTTGTAACTGACAGTCAAATGAAAAAAATGTGATGTCACGTTTTCTAAACCGTGTGAAAAAAGGCAGGTCCTCATTAGTATGCTTGTAAAAGAAAACACGTGAAAGCTTGAAGTTATCCAGAATCATTCTTGTGCTATCACCCTCCCCCTTCTCCCCGCCAGTCACCAAGGTGATAGAGTATTAAAATCACATTATCTAGAAGGTGCCTAGAAAAAACCAGCTGCGCTCTCTGGTTACAAGTCACACGACAGTTTAACTACGTACCAATTCTACGAATGTGATAAAAAAAATAAGTAAGGGAAGAAAAAATTATACACTACATGTTACCTTTTCTTTCTTTAGCTAAAATATCATTCACATTACAATATAAGTATTTGTCTTGTAAATCTTCTAATGCTCATCAAAGCAGTTTTGACATTATCCTTGTTAGTTTTAATAGAAAGGAAACTTAGAATTAATGAATAACTTAATGCCATCAGCATTTTAGTTTGCATTTCTGTTGGAACTTATTATTAGCTTATTTGTAATTAAGTACAAAGCTACACAATGGGTTATCTGTGCTCTGCTCACCAAATATGTACATTATATCATCATTTGCAAACAATCCTCTTCAATCTGGTCAGTTGCTCCTCCGAATACATACACTGTATCATCATTTATAAATTTTGCTACTCCATTTTTTCAGTTGCCCTTAATGAGGTGCATACTGTATTGTATCATATTTCACAATCTTTCCTTCTCAATCTGGTCAGTTGCTCCTCCGAATACATACACTGTATCATCATTTATAAATTTTGCTACTCCATCTTCTCAGTTGCCCTTAATGAGGTGCATACTGTATTGTATCATATTTCACAATCTTTCCTTCTCAGTTTGGTCAGTTGCTCCTCCGAATATATACACACTGTATCATTATCTACACACTTTGCTCCTCCGAATATGCACGTTGTATCAACAGTTACAACTTTGCTCCTCCGAATGTGTACACTATCTCATCATTTACAAACTTTGCTCCTCCGAATATGTACACTGCATAAACATTTATAAAATTTGCTCCTCCGAATATGTACATTGTATTAACATTTAAAAACTTTACTCCTCCATTTTCTCAGGTACTCCTAAAAATGTGCATGTTGTATTGTTTCATATTTCACAATCTTTCCTCCTCAATCTGGTCAGTTGCTCCTCCATCTTCTCAGTTGCTTCTAAAGATGTGCATGGTGTATTGTATCATATTTCGTCAATTTAGATATTTGCTCCCCGGAATGTGTTTACTGTGTCATCGAGAATAAGTTGTGTTATCTTTTGTACCTCAACCTTGTTAGTTACTGCTAAAGATTTGGTCACTGTACCATTTTTCACGATCAGTATTTGTTCTGCACCTTTGCTTTGGCAAATTGCGAAGTGTAGGAAAACTGTTTAGTTTATAACAGGTTTTAACTAATGAAGACATCGTGTTGAAAAATGTATGTGCCAAGCAAGGCGAAGTAATCTCTCTTAAAGTAACAGGTGTGATCAAAGTTCACGAAAAGACTGATAATTTATTAAAACACGTCACTATTAACTGATTCAGTTATAAATATAGTTTTTGTTCTAATCCCACTGTTTTAAGGCCTGTAGTACTGTGCGACAAGCAGTTGGCCTACAAGAAAGCTTGGATAAGATGCAAATGTGTGTCTTTTATTACAAGAAATTTGTTCCGGGCTAGGCTTATTTTTTGCTTTTCACGACTACAGTACAAAAACGTAGTAATGAAACATTTTTAAAGACATGATGGAAACTAATAACTTTTAAACAAGAACAAAATTTATTTCTATTCTGGTAGTAATATTTTTGCCATCCTCTTTGTTCTCAACAATATTTACCCAACACTCCCTAAACTGCTAGAAGTACTAAAATAACATTTAAAAATGTTAACATGTAAGAATCAAGTATATGTATTTGTTCATAATATCATTTGAACAGTGTAATATTAGAAGACAAGTTCTTGTGGGCAAGGCTTATGGAACAGAATCTTGATTATTATACACCAGATGATATCATCTCATGTTTACCGCTGTGACGTCACAAAGTCAGATGACGTCATATACTGAACTTTCGTGAAATGTTTAATAGAAATAGAAAGATAGGAGCAAGTGAAAATACGGAAGTTTGTACTTCTTAAGCATGCATAAGTTTACATTACTTTAAAGTCTTTACTTAAAACTTTCTAGGAACATTTTAGTATTCTTTTTTTTATCTATTCTAACGTTTCGTTCAACCCACGGTAAAAATGTTGCATATTTGTAAGTGCTAAATGTTAAATAACTAAATGATAGGTAATTTGATAACACAAGTATCTTTAAACATCAAGATTATATCCAATTATCACAATCAATTCAACTGTGATATCACATTGTTCTATTTATTTGTTCTCTCCAAACATTATATTTTGTCCAGAGGAAGCAGATAAAAGGAATACTATTATCAACTTAAAATTATAAACATATATTTTCAATGCACGCACGTACTCGTTTAGATTATTTAACTGCAAGTTCAAAATCGAAGAAAGAAAGAAACAAGAAAGTTTGTCTAGATTTAGAACTCTTCTTTCCTTTCTGTAGATTAGAGGAAAACAGCTGTCAACAGATCCGGCGCCAATTTTCGGGCTACTCTTATCAAATAGTGGGATTTCATTGTCACTATTATAACGCACTCACAGCTCTAAAGTGCAGAGTGTAATTATTCGCCAAGGGGACGCGGGTAAAGGATTCATCAGATTCACAGTCCGGTACGCTAACCGCTAGGCCATGCTCAGGCCCGGATGCGCGGTAATAAATAACTCGCAGCAAGGAAAAACATAGTAAATAATAAATATTAATGACTGAGGTTGAAGATAGGCAACTATTTCATGTTAATAACATGTTTTCACTACATTGAATAATGTAATCTATTATGCATGTTTGAATTATATTACTTAAAGCTGAACTTAATGGTTGTAGTGCAGTGTTTTGTGAAAAAGAGTTTCTTAATATTTAACTTCTATACTGTTATGTACTCAGTTCTCAGAAATAGTCTTTAGGTCGTTTACTTACCTTTTACCATAAGGATACAGGAGGTTTTAACCTCGCCTTCATTATTCTTGGCAACACATTCATATTCTCCCTCGTCTTCGGGAAAAACTTCTTTGATAGCCAACGTGGCCGTCTGCCCGTCGAAGATAAGTTTGAAATCTAGGCTCTGCTTCAGCGGTTTTCCGTCCTTGTACCAACGGACTGAGGGCGGCGGAGCGCCGGTAACTTCGCAAGACAGCGTATAGGGCTTCTCGTCTTCAGCAGTTCCGTCATTCAGTGGGCGTATTACTTTTGGAGGTGTTGTGGTTTCCTCTAAGACTACGAAGGCACAACAGACAAATAAACAGATACAATAAAGTGTAAGAGTTTTGCAACTAACTACCGGAAATGACGCATGGTTACTGTTATCCCCCTAGTAGCATATATGCCAAGAAAAGATTAACCATCCCTTCAATGTTACACAAAGTTTATAACTAGAATTTCCCTATGCTAACAGTTAACAGTTCGGTTCTCCAGACCATGACCCAGGTTTGACATTCACGAGTACGTGTGGCAAGAGTTTCTAAAACCAAAAACATAAGTTTCACACTACTTCATGAGACATTCATAATGATAATATGCAGACCTAGAACTAAAACATTTTAACAACATGGTGGGAATATTTTAGTTGTTGCGAGAGAGGAAATTTAACTCCATTTTTTTACCATCTTTCCCATCCAAAATCTATTATAAGTCTGGGTAAAGTATCGCTTTATCATTTTAGTCTTATAATTTTTATCACGTAATTTATCTTATCTACCAGAAGAAGTATATGGCCATGTGAAAAGCTGTCAGTTTATTTTCCCTCAGCCTGCTTAGTCATCTAAATACCTAGGTTCACTTGAAACAAGCAGCTTACTTTTTTTTATTTGTATAGTTAAATATAAATTCAATCTCACCTTAGTTTATCACATGATTCAAAGTTACATTGTTCTTTATTTGATTAACCAAAACCTTAGATCATTTGAAGCTTTTTTTGTTTATGTTCAGAAAATGTTTATTAAAAATAATATCAGATGTTTTAACACGAATTAATGCTAATAATTATTATTCTAGATAAAACTGGCGAAGAGCTGCGTGTAAACATTAAAAAATGTTTTTGTATTTATGGCAATGATGCTCGGGTTATCTGCTGTCATCCCTAATTTTGAACTACTGACCAGAAGAGAGGTAGCCGCCGTTCTATTCACGTTAAGGAATCGACTGTTATTTTTATAACGCACCCATAGCTTAAAGTGTGAGGAATATTTTATGATACACACAGATTCAAACGCCGCTTTCCAGGTGTGAAAATCCAGAGCTCTATGCCCTTCAAATTTCTCAAAATCAAATTTATAAAACAAAATACCAAAACACTTGCAAGTAAATACCAAAGTTGTTGGTGCGAGTGTTACAGGCAGCGTTCTTTCAGTCATGGTTAAAGATCACATTCAACTCGTGTAACGAAAAAACGTTTTACACAGACACCAGAACCAACTACAGACAACATCAATCATCCTTACCAAACGCCTAATAAACAAATAAAACCAATTCTTATTCTAACATGAAGACGAAAGACTTCTGAACCATCATCACCTAAACTGCCTTTACTGTAACCCTACAGTTACATTATCTGTGTAAGTCAGTTAGTGCCAATTTCACCATCATGAATATGCTGCCTCAATCATCGATTAAAGAGTAACTTGTATAATGTTTTAGGCATTTTGGTAAGAGATTCAAACCTGTTTGGTTAGGTACACGTGCACTGTGCTAGGACTTATCCAGGTAATCAAGTGGTTCTCTTAACATATGGTTGTAAAAAATTCTAAAGCATTATCTGAATCTTTAATTTGAACATGAAAGTAAAATATTACAGTGATCGGTTAGTAACGTAAATCACCACAAAAAGTACAACGAGAAAACAGAACAAAATATGTGTGATCAACAAAAAACGAGAGAAAAAAAGGTAGAGAAGGAGTGGAAAGTTATCCTCGTTCGGAAGCTTCTTAGACAGACGTGCAACACTAAATGGTTAGGTCACGTACACGCCCTTAGCTAAGAAACTGCTCGCTCTTGTTGCTAAGGTGGCAGTTATCTTTTTCTCCCTTGGTTACAATCTCTGTGTAGTAGCACAACAGCCGCTCGGCATTTACACTGACAAATTAAAAAAAAAAACGCCTAATAGTTCCTACTAAAGTACGTTACAAAATTACACAACAAATACTAACAAAACTTGAGCTTTAGCATTTTATAAAATACTGTGATAGCATCTTGAATACTCAAGTCTACAAAATACCCGAAACTAGCATAACTAACTAGAATACAACAATTTCTAAAGTTTTATTTGTTTGAAACAAAGCACACGGCGGTCTGATGGTACAGAGTCTGTGAAAACTTGAAAGTTTCGTTTTGTGCACATAGCCAGCCGAGAGAAAATATAGACATTTATGAACAACTAAGTAATCAACCATGTGTCTAGAACATTGAACTTTCACTGAACTTCACGTGGTGTTATTAAGACATTATAAAAACAAACTAATTTAAAACGTAGAAAAAAAAGGGGGATGCAATAAAAGTGTAAACTGTTAATAACAAAGTAGCTTCCCGGAAACAGAATGTTTTATCCCCATCTGCCCACTTACTATTTTAACTCCTAAAACTTTATATACCAATGTATACGTAGCTACACGACCTAGCCTTTGCATGTAGTGGATGGCATTATAAGAAGCCAGCAAATTTTGTACTTGTAATCGATACGTTTTGAGACTGATAACGATCGTAACTATCGGATTTTGTTGACAGGTTTCATCAAGTCAAAACCTAAACCACATTTCTCACTTTGCCAACAAGTCGAACATTAGAGCGGGAAAAGGAAGGCCTACTGGTATAACAATAACATAAAATGTCAATATTAAATATAGTACTATTAAATATGTAATAAATTCAGCAAACTTAATCCAGAATTATCTTCTAAATTCCACATATATGTCTTGTAAATTCTATATCTTGTGGATTCGACAAATATGAATTATAATTGTCAATTCTACAAATATGTCTTGTAAATTCTTTGAATATGCATTGTGGCTTAAACAACTATGTCTTGTGGATTCTACAAATATTTATTGTGGATTCTACAAATATGTCTTACGGATTTTACAAATATGTCTTGCGGATTTTACAAATATGTATTGTGGATTCTACAAATATGTATTGTGGATTCTACGAATATGTCTTGTGGATTCTACAAATATGTATTGTGAATTCTACAAATATGTATTGTGGATTCTACAAATATGTATTGTGGATTCTACGAATATGTCTTGTGGATTCTACAAATATTTCTTGTGGATTCTACAAATATGTCTTGCGGATTTTACAAATATTTATTGTGGATTCTACAAATATGTCTTGCGGATTTTACAAATATGTATTGTGGATTCTACAAATATGTATTGTGGATTCTACAAATATGTATTGTGTATTCTACAAATATGTATTGTGAATTCTACGAACATGTCTTGTGGATTCTACAAATATTTCTTGTGGATTCTACAAATATCTTTGTGGATTCTACAAATATGTATTGTGGATTCTACAAATATGTATTGTGGATTCTACGAACATGTCTTGTGGATTCTACAAATATTTCTTGTGGATTCTACAAATATGTATTGTGGATATGCCAGTGAATATTTATTTAAAACCCCGTGAAATTTAGCGATAAGTCATGTGATTTTCCAAATAAGTCTTGCAAAGTCATCTAGCAGAAAGTCCTGTAGATTTTGCAGATTGTTTTCAATTGGTACTCTTGTTTATAGAATTTTTGAAGTAGAATTTTGCAATAATTAAAATCCTGAGAACTTTTGATTCTATAGTGAAGGACTTTTCTGTTTTTAGTAGACTGGTGTGATAACATAGTAAAGACTTTTCTGTTTTTAGTAGACTGGTGTGATAACATAGTAAAGACTTTTCTGTTTTTAGTAAACTGATGTTATTTTGTAGTAAATACTTTTCTGTTTTTAGTAGACTGATGTGATTCTATAGTGAAGACTTTTCTGTTTTTAGTAGACCGATATGATTGTATTGTGGATACTTTTCTATTTTTAGTAGACCGATATGGTTGTATTGTGAATACTTTTCTGTTTTTAGTAAACTGATGTTATTCTATAGTGAAGACTTTTCCGTTTTTAGTAGACTGGTGTGATTCTACCATGAATACTGTTCCGTTTTTAGTACACTGGTGTGATCATATAGTGAATACTTTTCTGTTTATAGTAGACTGGTGTGATTGTATTGTGGATACTTTTCTGTTTTTAGCAGACTGGTTTGATTATAAAGTGAATACTGATATGATTCTATAGTGAATACTTTTCTGTTTTTAGTAGACTGGTGTGATTCTATAGTGAAGACTTTTCCGTTTTTAGTAGACTGGTGTGATTATATAGTGAACACTTTTCCGTTTTTAGTAGACTGATGTGATTCTACGGTGAAGACTTTTCTGTTTTTAGTAGACTGGTGTGATTTTATAGTGAAGACTTTTCTGTTTTAAGTAGACTGCTGGAATTCTACAGTGAAGACTTTTCTGTTTTTAGTAAACTGATGTTATTTTATAGTGAATACTTTTCTGTTTCTAGTAGACTGACGTGATTATATAGTGAAGACTTTTCTGTTTTAGTAGACTGGTGTGATAACATAGTAAATACTTTCTGTTTTTAGTAAACTGATGTTATTTTGTTGTGAATACTTTTCTGTTTTTAGTAAACTGATGTTATTTTGTTGTGAATACTTTTCTGTTTTTAGTAGACTGATGTGATTATATAGTGAATACTTGTCTGTTTTTAGTAGACTGCTGTGATTCTATAGTGAATTCTTTTCTGTTTTTAGTAAACTGATGTTATTTTGTTGTGAATACTTTTCTGTTTTTAGTAGACTGATGTGATTATATAGTGAATACTTGTCTGTTTTTAGTAGACTGCTGTGATTCTATAGTGAATTCTTTTCTGTTTTTAGTAGACCGATATGATTGTATTGTGAATACGTTTCTGTTTTTAGTAGACTGGTGTGATTCTATAGTGAATACTTTTCTGTTTTTAGTAGACTGGTGCGATTCTATAGTGAATACTTGTCTGTTTTTAGTAGACTGGTGTGATTCTATAGTGAAGACTTTTCCGTTTTTAGTAGACTGGTGTGATTATATAGTGAACACTTTTCCGTTTTTAGTAAACTGATGTTATTTTATAGTGAATACTTTTCTGTTTTTAGTAGACTGATGTGATTATATAGTGAAGACTTTTCTGTTTTTAGTAGACTGGTGTGATAACATAGTAAATACGTTTCTGTTTTTAGTAAACTGATGTTATTTTGTAGTAAATACTTTTCTGTTTTTAGTAGACTGATGTGATTCTATAGTGAAGACTTTTCTGTTTTTAGTAGACCGATATGATTGTATTGTGGATACTTTTCTGTTTTTAGTAGACCCGATATGATTGTATAGTGAATACTTTTCTGTTTTTAGTAGACCGATATGGTTGTATTGTGAATACTTTTCTGTTTTTAGTAGACCGAT